TTGTTTAAATTCTTGCTTATTACTTGTTTTAACTAAAATTGTAGATTAGGGTGATAAAACATAGCATGACTTAAGGTCATAGGACTTACTAGTTCATTGGATTTTCTAAGCAATAGTCTGAGTAGGGGTCATTATCAAAAATCAAATGCCTAGGTGTTTCTATCTAGCATAGTTTGGTTTGATTTTACTAGATAATAGAATATACATGTCAATTTATAGCTTAGTTCATTCAACTAGTTTTGGTGTACTTAGTCCTATGCTATAAGGGACAATTTCCATTCTCCTTGGTATTCATCAAGTTTAGGAGTCTAAAACTTACCATGAAATTTTGCTCAACTTAGCATTCAACCACACAATTTCACACATATATGTGCACCATAGTAACACAAGCAAATATATCAATCTCAACATCAAATATATGTCTATAAACTCAAGAGAGTGAGGAATTCTCAAGAGCTCTCAACCACACACAAGCTTGATAATTTCATCAAGTGTACGGGAGGGAGAAAGAATGAATTTTAGTTTTGCCAACCTTTCAATACATGGTTACATATGTGTCACGCATTCAAGGGGTGGTCGTCCTTCTTCGACACGTGGCTGCCACATGGCGTCACGCATGCAAAGGCTTCTCCTACTTCGACACATAGTTGCCATATGTCGTCACGCACGCAAGGGCTTTTCCTTCTTCGACACGTGGCTGCCACATGTCATCATGCTTATAAGGTGTAACACCTTAAATTTAATTTCAATAAATAAGAAATTTCACAAATTTCTGAAATAATAAAATTTTCATTTTAATTCAAGTTTCATCAACCATTTCAAATAAAGAAAAGGGTTACAAATTATATCAAACAGTTGCTACAGGACTTATTCTAATACAACAGTTTTCCAAAATAATATCCTAAGTCCTATAGCAGTTCCATCCACCCCTTCAATGAGTCTGGTGTTGATCGTCTTAATTACCTGAAAAATGAATGTAAAGGTGAGTACTCTACACTACCCAAAACACACAGTCAACATAGAGTCTCACCTCTAGAACCTTTCCAATACATTCAACAAACACAATTCAGGCAGCAATTCACATCCATAAGTACAAAACACAAATCCATGCATACTCATACCAGCCACACTCACTATAGTACTGTGATCACAGATTTACACCATGAATGGTCATTGGTTACCCCGCCTCACGGATACCACGTGCGCAGTCACAGGTCGCTCAGCAAGGATAGTGGTCAGAGGTCTAGTAAGGAAAAGAGTGTGTGGCCCGTGGTGAACCCGTTCCGCAGTCGGTGTCACCACCACTCTCTCCTCCCCAAGGTATTCCTACCGTTCTCATCTTCCACACCCTCAGTGTATCGCTGAACCATTCACAGCACATTACAACTGCACTAATACGCCCATTCACACACACACACACACACACACACACAGATATATATATATATATATATATATATATATTTCATTCACGCATGCAATAATCACGCTTACACATGGCACACAACCTACAATGCATTCAAATACACCGCACTAGCCCACATTCATTTCACATTACACAGCACATAGCCAATATTTGTTTATATTACACAACATTTACATACAATCCACATCTATCAAGATGGGATCAATACACAAAATCAAAACACTAACCATTAAAACTCACCTCCAAGCGTTCCCCACATGGATTTAACCTTCAATCTATCTCCCTAACCCCTTTTAAATCCTTTTCTGGTCGCGACACTCTCGCTACAATGAGATATTCTCGCTGCAACGAGGTCCCTTCGCTGCAATGACATGCCCTCACGTTGCAGCGAAAATCTCAGAATAAATTGCACTCTGATTTTTGTAGAATCTCACTACAGCGAGACCCTCTCGTTGCAGCGAGACTGCACCCAGAAATGCACCCCAGACTGTTGCTTTCTCACTACAGCGAGAAGGCGACACTTCTGGTCCTTCCTCCCAGCGCCTTCTCGCTGCAGCGAGAACAGCCCAGTACCACGCCTGCACTTAGGCACTTAACTCATTTCAGCCCTATCCAGTCATGCATACACACACACACACACACACACAGATATATATATATATATATATATATATATATATATATATATATACACATCCACAACATACATATATTCATACTTTTACACACAGAACACCATCATCATGCATCCAATGCAATTTTCAACATCCATTTACGCTTATACACACATATATATGCATTTAGATTTATATAAATAATATTACTAAAATTCAAGGCGTTACAATTCTCTCCACCTTTAAGGAATTTCGTCCCCGAAATTCAACCAAACACATAATTTACAAAAACAATCCTGGGTACAACTCCTTCATTCTACTCTCTGTTTCTCATGTGGCATCTCCCTCATTACTTGAGCTCCATATTACCTTTACCAATGATATCTCTTTATCCCTCAGCTGTTTAACACGGTGATCCGCAATTCTCACCGGGTGCACATCATACGATAAGTCTTCTCTAACTTGAACCGGGTCAAGATTTATCACATGCGAAGGATTCGACACATATTGCCTAAGCTGCGACACATGGAACACCGGATGTAGATTCGAGAGATTCGGAGGCAACGCGATCCGATATGCAGCAGGACCAATTCTACTCAGTACTTTGAATTGCCCAATAAACTTAGGAGACAACTTCTGAGATTTTAGAACCCTTCCAACTCCGGTCACAGGCGAGACCTTCAGAAACACATGGTCCCCCACTTGGAACTTCAACGGTTTCCTCCTCTTATCATAGTAGCTCTTTTGCCTATCTTGCGCAACCTTCATTTTCTCTTTGATCATTTTGATTTGCTCATTCTGCCTTTGGATCATATCTGGCGCACACAGAGTTGCCTCTCTGGTTTCATACCAACACAATGGAGTCCTGTACCTCCGTCCATACAAGGCCTCAAATGGTGTCATTCCAATGCTAGCATGGTAACTGTTGTTGTACGTGAATTCCACTAGCGGCAAGCACTCTTCCCAAGTTCTCTGCTGCTCAAGCACACAAGCCCTCAACAAGTCCTCCAGGGATTGGATGGTCTGCTCAGTCTGAACGTCAGTCTATGGGTGATAAGTCGAGCTCAGTCTCAACTTAGTCCCCAATGCTCGTTGCAGGCTCTCCTAAAACCTCGAGGTAAACCTCGGATCTCTATCTGACACCACACTAGTTGCACTCCATGCAGCCTGACTATTTTCTGCACATACAACTCTGCAAGTCACTCCAATCTATACTTCATGTTAATCAGGAGAAAGTGTGCAGCCTTGGCCAATCGATCCACTATCACCTAGATGGTATCATGATTGTTCTTGGTCTTAGGCAACCCAAAAACAAAGTCCATGGAGATACTATACCATTTCCACTTAGGGATTTCTAACGGTTGCAACAACCCAGGTGGACGCTGGTGTTCTACCTTCGCCTTCTGGCAAGTTAGGCATTTAGCCACATATTCAGCCACATCTCTCTTCATGCCATTCCACCAAAAACTCTTCCGGAGATTCTAATACATTTTAGTTACGCCGGGGTGAAAACTCATCCTGCTCTTATGCGTTTCCTCAAGCACCATCTGTCTCAACTCATCCACTTGAGGAATGCACACTCGGTTCCGGAACTTAATCACTCCGTTCTCATCACGGTGGAACTCCAAGTCTTTTCCCTCATCCTTCCACCTCATCATGCCTTACAGGAAAGCATCTCCCTGCTGAGCATCTCGGACGTACACCAGGAAGTCGTTGTGAATCATCATCATTCCGAGATATAAACTCCCCAGCCTCACCTCCATGGCCAAATTCATGTCCCGAAATTCCTCAATCAACTCCATCTCTTTCACCATCATCGCTGCCACATGCAATGATTTCCGGCTCAACGCATCGGCTACCACATTTGCCTTGCCAGGGTAGTAAGACAATGTGAAGTCGTAGTCCTTGAGGAATTCTATCCATCTTCTCTGCTGCATATTCAGCTCTTTCTGATCAAATAGATACTTCAAACTCTTATGGTTACTGAATACCTTAAACCTCGCCCCATACAGATAGTGCCTCCATACCTTAAGAGCAAAAACTACCGTGGCTAACTCCAGATCGTGTGTCGGATAGTTGACTTCATGCGAGCGCAACTGCCTCGAGACATAGGCGACCACTTGTTCGTCTTGCATCAAAACACAACCAAGTCCTTGTCCGGATGCATCACAATACACATCAGATTTTCGCTCCGAGTTGGGCAACGCTAACACCGGCGCCAAGGTCAATCTTATTTTTAGCTCCAAGAAACTAGCTTTACACCCCTTAGTCCACTTGAACTCCTTTCCCTTGCGGGTCAACTTCGTTAAGGGTAACGCTATCTTAGAAAACCCCTCAATGAATTTCCTATAATAGCCTGCCAATCTAAAGAAGTCGCGCACCTCTATCACATTCGTCAGTCTCAGCCACTCAGCCACTGCTTCCACTTTTGCAGGGTCCACCATGATTCCTTCCTTTGATACCACATGCCCTAGAAACTGAATTTCCGACAACCAAAATTTGTACTTAGAAAATTTTGCATACAGTTGTCTCTCCCTCAGAATTTGCAAGACAATCCTCAAGTGCTCGGCGTGCTCTTCCTGAGTCTTGGAATAAATTAGGATGTCGTCAATGAACACCACCACAAACTTATCCAAAAACTCGTAGAAGATCCTATTCATGTAGTCCATGAACACTGCAGGCGCGTTGGTCACCCCAAACGGCATCACCAAGTACTCATAGTGACCATACCACGTCCTGAACGCCGTCTTAGGTACATCTACATCCTTCACTCGGATTTGATGGTATCACGATCTCATATCAATCTTCGAAAACACTGCGGCTCCCCTCAACTGGTCCATCAAATCGTTAATCCTTGGAAGTGGATACTTGTTCTTGACCGTTACCTTGTTCAACTGCCGATAATCCACACACATCCTCATGCTTCCATCTTTCTTCTTCACCAAGAGCACTGGTGCTCCCTAGGGTGACACACTCGATCTCACAAACCGTTTCTGCAACAAGTCTTGTACTTGCTTCTTGACCTCTGCCAACTCCACTAGTGACATCCTGTAAGGTGCCACAGAAATCGGACTTGCCCCAGGAATGAGGTCAATAGAAAACTTTATTTCCCTCTTAGGTGGCAGCTCAGAAACATCTTCGAGAAAAACCTCTAAGAAATCCCTCACCACCAGAATATACTTCGGCTCCGCCACACTTTCGGCTTCCATTGAGAACATAACCATGAAAGCCTTGGCGTTTACCATGTTCTCCCATGCTCCCTGGCTCATAAGCCTTGGAACCTTTGCAACTGTCGCCCCGAAGATCAAAGTCTTCTCCCTACAGTCCATTAGCATATGGTTGGCAGCAAGCCAATCCATTCCTAGAATTACATCCAGTTAAGAAAGAGGTAAACAAATCAAGTCCACCTCAAAATCCCTACCATGTACCATCATTGCACACCCCAAACACACCCATGACGTCACAATCGGCTTACCCATAGGGGTAGTCACCACAACATTACACGGCAATTCCGTCACATATAAGCCCAGACTCTTCATACAGTCCACAGATATAAAAGAGTGCGTAGCACCCGAATCAAACAACATATCAAGCAATCTGCCTTTAATATACATTTATCTCGGATCAACTCCTCAGATTGTGAAGCCTCTACCCCACTCATAGTAAAGACTCTATCAGGAATGCTCAGCTTCTGCCCTGTACTCAGCCCCGTACTTCCTTTTGATTCCGGCCTCTGAGTTGTACTTGTATTGCCTCCTCTCTTGGCGATCCAGCACTCATTGGCAACGTGCCCCGACTTCCCACAGTTACTACAAGTTATCCTCGACTATGAGCAGTCCTTCACCATGTGTGACCCTCCACACCTGAAACACTTATGCGGCCCTCTGAAAGAACTCGATCCTGAACCACTTCCACTACTCCTCTCTTGGGAAGAACTCTCTCGGGATTGAGAACTATTTGAGCCCGAGTACAGTCCCCTTGAGAACCTAGGAGGTCTTCTATCTTGTCTCACTGGACCAGCTCCCCTAGTGTCCACTGTCTTTCCCCTTGAGTTGGCTTCAAAGATTCTGCTCTTGCTCACCAGAGTGGGCAAGTCTGTCAGTTGAAACACACTGACTGCAGCCCGAATGCTTGGCCTCAATCCATGCTCAAACTGAGCACACAGATCCTCCTCTCCATCACCATGCTGATAGTGAGGCCAGTATTTCATCAACTCTTAGAACTTAGCTGTATACTCTCCCACGGTTATGTTTCCTTGCTTCAACTCAAGGAACTCCCTAACTTTCTGCTTCCTCAGATCTCGGGAAAAGTAGTTCCCTAGGAAGATGGTCTTGAATGCTTTCCATTGGACATAGCCATCTTCTTTTGGCAAAGTTTGGCCGGCAAACCTCCACCAGTTCTCAGCCTCCCCACATAGTAAGTAGGTGGCATAGGCAACCTTATTCTCCTCACGGCATCCCATTGCATTAAAAATCTTCTCCATATCAGCCACCCACCTTTGGGCTCCTTCGAGGTGAATCCACCCTCAAACTTTGGAGGATCATGACAGCCTTGATTGTGCACCATGGCTTCCAGAATCTGAGTCATGCGTTCCATGAGGTCATTCGTGCCTCTAGCTCTTCTACCTCTATACAATTTAACAGTCACAGTCCAGCACATCAAATCAATAATATATTTAGAATTCAGGCAAACAAAATAATCAACACTTATCTTGGACGTTTTAGCCCAATACCCCAGTCCGGTTTGGATGAACTAAAATTGTAACACCTTAAATTTAATTTCAATAAATAAGAAATTTCGTAAAATTTTGAAATAATAAAATTTCCATTTTAATTCAAGTTTCATCAACCATTTCAAATAAAGAAAGGGGTTACAAATTATATCAAACAGTTGCTACAGGACTTATTCTAATACAATAGTTTTCCAAAATAATATCTTAAGTCCTATATCCATCCACCCCTTTACTGAGCCCGGTGCTGATTGTCTTGATTACCTGAAAAATGAATGTAAGGATGAGTACTCTACACTACCCAAAACACACAGTCAACATAGAGTCTCACCTCCAGAACCTTTCCAATATATTCAACAAACACAATCACAGGGAGCAATTCACATCCATAAGTACAAAACACAAATCCATGCATACGCATACCAGCCACACCCACTATAATACCGTGATAACATATTTACACCATGAATGGTAGCTGGTTACCCCCGCCTTACGGATACCACGTGGGCAGTCACTGGTCGCTCAGTAAGGATAGTGGTTAGAGGTCTAGTCAGGAAGAGAGTATGGCCCATGGTGCACCTGTTCCGTAGTCGGTGTCACCACCACTCTGTCCTCCCTAAGGTATTCCTACCGTCTTCATCTTCCACACTCCCAGTGTATCGCTGAACCATTTACAGCACATTACAACGGCGCTAATACGCTCATTCACATTCACGCATGCAATAATCATGCTTACACACGGCACTGGCCCACATTCATTTCATATTACACGGCACATAGCCAATATTTGTCTATATTACACAACATTTACATACAATCCATATCTATCAAGTTCGGGTCAATATACATAATGTTCACATATCACGGGACATGGCCCACATTATATTTCTCAGCAATTTCCTACCCCCTAACTCAGCCACAACACAATATTAAGCAAAATAACAATAATTCATACACAAAAGAGTAGGATAGAGTCGCCCCTTACCTTGGATTGAAGACCCATACACTAAATCCACCAAGAAGTGTTCCTCCTCACAGATTTCATCCTAAACACATGAAAAAACAGAGAAAGGGGATGAAAAACTGAACCCCTAACCATTAAAACTCACCTACAGGCGTTCCCCAAATAGATTTAACCTTCAATCTATCTCCCAAATGGCTGCTTTGGAGGCAATTTAATCGATGGAAAAGGGTTTGGGAATGAGAGAATCCAAGGAATTTCGAAGGGAGAGGGAGAAATAACTCTCCCTGAACCCTAACCCCCTTTAAATCCTTTTATGGTCGCGACACTTTCACTACAGCGAGATATTCTCGCTGTAACGAGGTCCCCTCGCTGCAACAACACGCCCTCACGCTGCAGCGAAAATCTCAGACTAAATTGCACTCTAATTTTTGTAGAATCTTGTTACAGCGAGACTCTCTCGCTACAGCGATATTGCACCCAAAAATGCACCCCAGACTATTGCTCTCTCGCTACAGCGAGAAGGTGACAGTTCTGGTCCTTCCTCCCAGGGCCTTCTCGCTACAACGAAAATTCTTTCGATGCAGCGAGAACAGCCCAGTACTACGCCTGCACTTAGATACTTAGCTCATTTCAGCCCTATCCAGTCATGCACACACACATACACACACACACACACACATATATATATATATATATATATATATATATGCACATCCACAACATACATATATTCATACTTATTACACACAGAACACCATCATTACCCATCCAATGCAATTTTTAACATCCATTTATGCTTATACACACATATATATGCATTTAGATTTATATAAATAACAATAATTAATATTACTGAAATTCAGAGCGTTACATAAGGGCTCGCCATATTTTGCCACCTATCTTATAGTTTCGCCACTTATCTCATCCATGCATGATATTTTGAGGGCAGTCTGCTCATTTTGTAATTCATTCCAAAAAAACTTATTGAAGCAAAATCTACCTTGTTGATGTTTGAAACCAGAGACTTCTAACTCCTAACTAAAGACTAACCCTTCTACTACTATGTTGCTTCTGCTTGTGCGTTATCATTTGGAACTCAATATAATTACAGGATTTCTAAATAATCCAAAGCATTGAGATCCATCTCTTAAAACATCAAACACATACTGACAAATTATTTGAACAAAATAAAATAAATACTTTTATATCAAAACTTCTTTAACTAAAATCATAAAATTTTGTAAAATATATTGAATTATCTTTGAGAAAAAAGGAAAATTGCATTACACACGTGAACATGGAAGGGAGCAAAAATGAGGATGTTACATATAGTGTAGAGCTCTCGAGCTACACATTTCGTATTGTCCAATCAAATCAAATATAATAAAATAATAATAAATGTTAATAAATATATTAAAAAGTAATAAAAGAAATGATTACAGTACATACTATGCCCAAATCTTATGCATCCATCAAATCGGATTCAACAGATTAATAAAATAATATTATAATTATAATTTTTTTTTAAAAAGAAAAAACAAAGGTGGTTTAAGTATGTATTTTCTCCCAAATACATCTACTGAGAGTAAGTTTAAAAAACAATTGAGAAAAAAAAAATAAACTTATCGATACAGTGATTCAAATGATGAGTTGTAGTTAGCGATATACTATCATCTTTCCTTTTGAAGAGTTAGTTAAGTATAAACATTAACTTATCTCTAAGAATGACAAATAATTAAGTGCATTTTAGAATCTTGAAAAATTAATTTCTAATTTTAAGGTTAATGTTACCGTTTAGGTGATAACTCATAGTTACATCATGTTATGTTATTTATATTAATATAGGCAATTAAATTTTGCATGAGAATTTATTTAGATATAGAAAGAAAGAATCCTTTATAAGTTAATATGATGAATGATGGTGTAGGAAAAAACCAACTCAAATAATGAAAACTTATCAAGGTTAACGGATGAAGGTGAAATAAAAGTGACAATGAATAAAAATTTTATTGTCAATTAGATATTAACATAATATAACATTAGTTAAACTACTTTTAACTTAAACTATAGGTATCTTTTATTGCAAGCAATTATGTTCTTAAATATTATTTTGTGCTTATTATAGACAAGTTATTGTAAGAAGTTTGTAAAAAGATGGGAGTTTAGATTTATTTATTTGATTTAAAAAATATAAAATTTGTCATTTGGTTCAAAAATGTTAATTGAAAAAAGTTAAAATACTGTCAAACGACTCTCTGTTGATTTTGCTTTAAAAATTACATCTGTATTGCTTCGTTAATAACATGTAAAATGTTATAAGAACATTAGATTACAGTTGCATTTTTTTCAGATAAGAAATGCATTACTTACACAAGGGGAAGTTTAACAACTCTGAATTGTTTAATTACAAATTAAATGACCTATCTTACTGTCATTTGTTATAGCAACTCAATTGAATTATAAATTAAAAAATGTATTATTTATAAACGTCAACATCAATATGGCAAAGATGCTAGTTTTTCTTCGCATTCTGAATTTGTCTCAATAAATGCTGGAGATGCAATCTTATTCAAATATGTAACAGTTTATCTAAATCAAATCTGTAAAACATGCTACCAACAGATGATGTATTTTACATGAAAAAAAGACACAATAAAAGCGATGTTTATATTTCTCTTGCACGATGTGTAGCATAGAATTCAAATTTTAGCAAAGCTGTATTTTATTGCTGCTGTGAATGGAAGTTAAAAGCAGGCGACACCACCTTGGACAAGCAAAAATATCATAGACATATATGCTTCTATTTTCTAAACACGTATGAAGCTCTCACATGCAAGGCACACCTCAATCACATATACAAGATACAGCCAACCAAGCAATTAACTCTACTTATTGGTGAGATCCCTAAAAGACAAATCATACAACTATCTCCTCTATAAAGATGGAGGCAAAAATTAGACAAAAAACAAATGAATGAATGAATCAAATATCTACTAGTGGCAATATTGAGTGTTAGAAGATGACGCTCCCCGATATTCTGCAAATTAATATCCTTTACAGCCCATGATGTATCCCTGCAGCAGAAAGTAGAATATGAAATATTAGACAAGGCATGATTTTGGAGATATTCAATATATTCAAGTTGATAAAATTGAGAGCTAGTCAAGAAATAACCGATGCAATCCCACGGTAGCCTCTGAACTATAAAAGTGATAGGAGTCAAGATATAAAAGGGAACTCTTAACTTTTGTGGACCCTACTGAAAATTTAGAATAACACTTGGACCAATGTAATGCATTGTTTCTAATCTTGTTCCTTATCTACTAATTAACATCAACCATAGATCTGTACTATGTCTTAATTGTTGGGATTCATATGGTAAGCAAACAACTTAATTGCACAAATGTGAGGATCCAATGTGATGCAAACCAAAAAACAGAGTATGTGATGCAAACCATAAAACAGAGTATAATATATGTACTGAATGAAATAAGGAACCTTGGTTAAATTGAGAAAGGTAACCAAAACAAGAAAAAACAGATGGGAATGGGTACCCAATCTGCCCAGAGCTAGGCTCCTTAGAGTCACCTCACAAAAGAGGTATCCTCTACCAAAATGATGATAGAAAACAGAATGATCCCCCTTCTCTCTCCAATCTGATACTACCACAATGATGATAGAAAACAAAATGATCCCCTTTCTCTCTCTAATCTGATACTAAATAACTGTAAAGATAAAAAAGACAAAAATGTCTCACCCACATCCCCAAAATACCCCTTAACTAACAATCATGACCCAATCACCCCTCTAATGCCTTTTCCTCACGTAAACACGACCCCATCTTCCATGGTTGCCTTCATGTACTAAAGGCTCACTTGATTCACCTCCAATGGCTGTATCACAATGTTTAGCCAAATATGCGAACAGGTATGAACTACAAAAAGTATAATGGCCAAGACATTTTCTCTTGACAGTTCATTTTAGTTTGCCTGAAGCTGCTTTTTCCAAAGGCTATTGTTCTGAACAAAAGTGAGGGGGTTGACTTTGTTGAGAATAGTTCATTCAAACCTTATGCATACATCACATGATTATATTTGATATACTAAGCAATTCACCTGTTCCAGTTAAGCAGCTAAATTCCAATTACTGAAATTTATGGCTTCGTCATTTTCAATCTCTGCATCAGTGAAAGTCAGGGCTCGTTGTAGCTTCCTAGGAGAGAACGCCTCAATGTCCACCATATAAGTGGCAGTCACGGGTCTGTGATCTGAGAGTTTGAACTCAGCCCTTTTGTAACTCAATAGTCTCATTCCTTTGCCATATGAAATAATTCGATCACACCTGAAAGATGGTCACAAACACATGGAAAATTCATCAATGTCACATGTGGCAGATATCACTAGTTCATAAACCATTAAATTCAGGTTTAAGGACATAGTGAAGTCAAAACATTTTCAATAACCCAGTATTGTAATTAGTATATTCAGTTTGAAGCATTTAGAATTTTCCAAAAGTCTGAACCAGTGCATACATCTACAAGTATATGTGCAGATCTCTGTTTAAAACTTATGCTTGGTAAAAATTTAGTTAATACAGTAATTCATGCTAATATAATTACTGAATAGAATTACAAGTCCAACAAAGCACACAGCTGCTAAAATGAAACAACTCTCCTCATTATCTTAAATTTGATTGCTTGGCAATTATCAATGAGAAAATTCACTAACCATTTGTAGGGTGCGCTATAAGCAGTTTTGTGCTCTAGTGGATGCTGTTTGATACACACACCAAAAAATTTCCAAATTTATCACAATACCCTTTGTGTTGTGCATTGTTTCACATGAAGAAAATGTTTAGGAAGTGATTTTGACATTTAATCATTTTAGTTTTTATAATTAAATTATTTTCACACATTAATCTTTTGCAATTTATTTATAACATTGCTTTAATTTTTAATTATATTTATCATATAATTATTAATAAAAATTTAATTTTAAATCATAATGTATTGTCACTGTAGCTGATACTCATTTGGGTGGTGAGGAATTTGGTAACAAAATGCTGAATCATTTTGTGTCTAGGAAAAATCTTACCTTGACCTCACAAATAGCATAAATTATTTCCCCATGCCTCACGTTGGGAGTATTAGTCTAGGAAATTCTGCTCTCTTCAAATTTTGAATAAAATATCAGGGTTAAAAAAAAGTGATCAAATTTTGACCTAAAACTCGATAAGTTTAAGATTTTGTCTCCTGGGAGGAAAGCTTGTGCCATTCAATTAGTTTCCTACACAAAATGTCTGATCTAAAACATCTCATTTTGACTTATAAGTGTGTATTCAAAGCGCACATGATAGAATCAAGAATAAATTTGGACAAACAAAATGTCGGATATTCCTAATAAATTTGAAAAAATGAGAAAGAATGTTTTTAAAATTGATAAATAAACATAAAAGCACAGGATTTGCAAACATGGAAGCAGAATCTTGGAATAAAAGTATACCATGCTGGTGAGCGCTTTCCACCAACCCTGGGATCCTCTCCAAAGTATTTATCCGAGTTCAGCTCATATTTATAAGTTGGTGGAAAGTTTAACGTGCCTTCAGACCATCCACCAAACACACCGTTCTTGAGTTCTTGCATGAGCTGTCATAATAAGACATCAGTTTATTAAAAAGCCAGACCATCTCATAGGATCCAGAGGAAAGTAGTTAGAATAGTTAGTTATATAATTAGTTGAAGTACAAATAGTACTATACTACTATGAGAAAATTTGTTTATGGTTTAGCTTAAATAGTAGAAGGGGGATCGAAGGGGAGGTATTTGGAATTGTTAGTGTCAAAAACAGAGCAGGGACTCTGTTTGGGAAAGGGGAAACCCTTAGAGGAAACCATTGGTAGGAGAGTTCTTTTTGCGTTCAGATTTCTTTCCTAATAACAAACTCATTCCGGCTCTTTCCATTTCTTTTATTCTATTCTTGAATTTTAGTTCATTGGTTCTAAACATCATCAGCTAACAAATTGAGTTCACTTTTGAAGCAGGAGCTCTACACATTTCATCTCTCATAAACTAGAATGAACAATTACATGTATTATGAACAATAGCTATCGAACATGGTCCAGTTAGGAACCATTAGGAATGGTATCCGTTAATGAGTAAAATATGACATGAACAGAGGATGACACACTTTTTTTACGATGAATATTGTTAAAGAGAAATATGAAGTTTTTCAAACATGAAATCAAAATTAAATAAAACATGCATATGTTTTGTTTAAGAAAAATAGGATAGCTTCAAAGTATTTGTTAATTCTAAATAATGACAATGTCTAGAATTTAGGAAACTAAAAGTATAGAAGTACAAGTTCTAACCCCAAAATTTGAAAAAAGAATGATGAAATTGCTGTTACCATTTTATTTGTATCACAAAAAATTTATCAGAGTAAGAAAGGAAATTCAAGATACCATCTTTTTTCTTTTGCACAAAAGCAACACAACAAAATGAAAAATATGAGTCTTTGGGAAAGTACCGCAGGACATCCTATCCTCAGAGAGCATTTAACACATAAATAATGGTATCAATACTTTGTGAAAGTAAACTTGAGATCTCCAATTAGTTAGGGCATTCATTATTTGCACAAAGACTGCTTCACATGTCTCCTATCAGTTTTTTGTTGTTTGAATGGCATAATTATCAATTTTTATATATAGGAATATATCCATTTATTCTTGATACTTTCTTCACTTAATAAATTTTTGTAGATTATGAATTTGGCATATTCAACTATTGAATCATGTGATATCGTCTTGATAATCATACATGTCAAATTTTAGATAAATTAAACATTATGTAATATTATAACTAATATTTTTTTAATATATTGAAAAACATATTATAGGTTAAAATAATTTTTAAATTTTATGAAATTTTGTTAATTTTATCTACTCAATGTAAACTTTCAATAAAATGGTCAGATTATGGAATTCACTGTCTCTAAAAGGTTATTAAGTGGAATAAGTTATTACTCCCAACCAAGAGATCAAGCGATCAAAATGTCTTAACATAGATATTCTCTTTGACCAAAAATAATAGAAAACTCTCATAAGTTGGCTTGTTCCCAATTCCCAATCCGATCAGAAAACACCAGTTTTGACCTTTTAAATTAGAATCCAGAAGAGTGTTCTTGTGAAGAACACTAAATGTAAAGAGTTTAATATAGTACCTGGTCTTTCTCCACCAATTTTGACCACTGTTTCTTTGAGATAAGAGCTCTTGTTTCCAAATTTGATAAGTTGATACGGTAATTCAGATCACCCAACCATATTATTCTTCTGCAGAGTGCAGATAAATTCAAATTGAATAAGCAATTATAAAACACAGAACATTTAAATACAAAATTACAGTGACCAATCAGAAACAGAAGAAAGCTAAATATGCTCCAAGTGAATGAAACACGAGTGCTCAAACTACGTGCTCAAACTACCTAGTTCACTACATTATGGCTTGCAATTCTTTTCAACCACATTAAACACACAAAATGCTCACAGAATATTGAATTATGGGGCCATATAAGGTATTATGTTTATTTCCTTAGTGTTAAGTGAAGAAAAAAAGAGTGTTATGATCAAATCCTTGTGTCAACCACACAGCAGGGCAGAATTATATGGACCAAAAATAATAAATACACAGCTTGTAGCTATCCTAGTACCATAATTACAACAATACAATGAATCTGTACATTATTTATAAATTTTCCAACAGTTAGATTCAATTATATCAATTAAATAATAATAGGTATATATAGAAGTAATTAACCTCTAGGATTTTCACATTGGGGATTATATATCTTCATTAAACTCAAGAAAACTGGGATTTCATTTTTGAAGAGAAGAAATTTGAGTTTGGGAAGAAGGGTAGACTGGAAGATAAGTAAATAAGCAGAGGAGAACATTCTCTTAAAGAGAACAAAAACAAAACAGAGAAAGAAATACACAACAAGAAAGCAGCCCTTGCCTATAGTCTATAACAACATCCCACTAAAGGGATGGTGTTAGGATCCAATTGCAAGGTATGAGACTTGAGTCCCACATTGGAAGTATGGAATTCTAATATGGGGTTTATAAGGCTTTGCACTCTCCAACTACAACGGCTAGATTTTGCTGTGTGGTTCTCCCAAGGTTCTTATCAATTGGTATAAAGCCTTCTACAATGTCTCTCAGCCACAATCGTATATAGGTGGTGACACTAGTATTGCAATGTTCATTCGATACTAGTTAAGGGACTAGTGCACAGCCACTGAGGAGGGTGGTGGTATGTTAGGATCCTAATAGCAAGATATGTAACTCGAGTCTTATATTGGAAGTATGGGCTTCTAGTGTAGCATATTTCCTTCTTAATAGTAACCTACCATGTCCTTTTCAGCCTCCCTCTACCCCTATTTAAAAGACAACATGTGTAACTGTAATATCGCATCTTCTTATGGAGCCTATGGTGTGGGTAGGTTGTCATCCTACATGACAAACCATCCTAAATGGTTTTTCATCATGCTTTCCTCTATAGAAGGTAAATACTAATGAAAAAGTAGAGCTCAGTTGCAGCAAATACAGCATATTCTAACACAAGTTGGCAAAACCATACTAATTCTTAAAGGAAAAGTACTGTGCTAATGTATATTGAATAATGCTTTAGCTGCTCCAATAGTCAATTACAATAATAGGTCACATCACAGTGAGACTAACTGAAGTTAGTGCATCAATAATTTTGATCTGATGGGCCACAACCAGATAATTCATCAATAACTTCCTTGTACTCTAATTTTGAAAATGTTAGCAAGTAGCAACCACCTTACCACCTCATTCCATGACAATCCCCATTTCCCAATATAAACATTATTTTTGTGGCTTAACATAATTGATAGAAAAATGATAAACCCAAAGAAATATCATAACAAATAATTAAGCTAAAAGAAAGATAAGAAACCAAGGACTAGGTAATACAGGGCAGAAATAAAACATGCAATGTGGAAAAATGTATAGAAGTTCTAATAAGAAAGAAATTAGCAGTTAAGTTTGTCATGGTATATTAAAGCATGCACTCACTCATGATCAAGGATTCTTTTGGGAAGTCCAATATATGAGAGTGAATGGAAATGGGTTCTACGAAGTATTTCATGAACATCAGCATTTCTTTTAAGTTCATCTCCTTCCTTCTCACCAGACGTAAGGTGGGTGCATATGAAACAAAAAAGTGTCTGATATATGGACATGCTGACTGATATCGAACCCTGGAAAAATTGAAAAAGCTTTTAAAATCTGATGCAATATTGATCACATGGTCACTCTACTTAATATTAAATATTGCCAATAGTACAATCAATCTAATTCAAAAGGCCACCATGAACTAAAATAATATCAATATAATCATCACAAAAAAATATTTAAAACCTTAAAATTGGTGGATTAAATAATAAGCCATTTATATTAGGGATAGCAAGCAATATATAAGAACCTTATATCAATAGTGAAAATGCAGAAAACTGTATTTATTAGGGATAGAAAGCAATGTAAATATGATAATATGACAATATAATGATATGAAAAATATAGTTTCAAGAAGTAGAAAAGAAAATACTTTGAAGAGAAAAGACCTTGTTACCAATATAGCCCATAACACCAACACCAACAGTTGAAACCTTTAAATTTTGAATATGTTTTCGCAAGCTCCGACGAACCCATATGGTGATGAAAATCCCAACCATCTGCTTGCTCACAATTCTTACATATGATGATCTTCTTTTCCGCTTTACCAAAGCTTCAAGGTCAATTTCAGGAAGTAAACCTAACCCTGGTATTTCTTCCCTAACTGACTTGAAAGAGTTATATGTTTTGAACGACTTAGATGATTTAAAGGATTTGAGTGATTTAAAAGAAGTTGGTCTATCCAAAACTCGCTGAGATAGCAGATGTAGTGGAGGCTCTGGCCAGCTCAAACCAATCCTTTCAGACCCACTAAGCATTCTGGTTAATTTAGAGGCCTGTTGAGCAAATGATGTATCAAGGTTTTCTGACAAACCTTGTTGCCTATCAAACATCTTTGGAAAAGAAAACTGTCTCTGTAAATCAGTTTTAACTGGCAAACCGGAGTTGGTAATATCAGTAGCATCAAAAGTTAATGCATTTGGATTCTCAAATTCCTCTGTGTTTGTTCCATCAGTACCTTCATCACAAATATTGTTTTCTTCATCCAAAGGATGGACTTCCTCACCAATGTCACTATCGCTTTCAAGGAATATTTCTTCTTCTATGTCAGGGACATCCTCTGATGGCTTAAATTTTGATGGAGATGGAGGGTCACTAAAGGATTTTATCTTTGGTAATTCAGGTCGAACTCTATTCAGTGTTTCTCGAATAATATTCTCCCATTTTGGAACAGGACGAGTATCTTCAGCACCAAAAATGTTACCAGGATTTAAGGGTACAATCTCTTGAAGACTGCAAGTGCAAAGCATTGTTTTAGTCAAAGAAATGGGATGAGTCTTGAAAGCATGAATATAGAAGTAATTAAAGTAGAGAATATTTTAATGGTAATTACAAGATGGCATCAAATGTATTCAGGAGTACATACAATAGCAGAAGAAGATGAAAAAGAAATTTATGACTAACACCAAAACCTGATTCACAAACATACCAAGACCAGCTTAACATTATAGATGAGTAACAGTATTTGATGTGACAAATATCAAGGACATAGATGTCAGTGGAGTATTTTCAGTAACTATCAGTGAAGAAGTTACCCAAGGACATAGATGTCAGCCGGTTCATTGACAGTGAGCCAATCGTCAATATCAAGGTCATCAGGTGGAAGTTTTCCTCCAACATTCCATGTCCCAACACATACCCTAGGGGGTAAATATACACCACAATCCAGATATGAGAGGCTTCAGCAATAATGCCAAATAAACTGTGCTTTTCACACTTGAAATCATTGAAATTAGTGTCTGCTCTTGCTTGCTAAATAAACACAAGAGTAGTGCCTCACCTCAGCTCCTTTGTGTTTATATACTGAGATCTATAAGTTGATGATTTTTGCCTCCTTAACCTTGGAAGAAATTCTGTAATTCAATAGATATTTAGGCTACTATCTGGGGCAATAAAGAATAGCAATATACTATACCTTCATAGTTTACAGAATAGATGATAAATCAGAAACTACTTTATTATAACTTAGCACTGGATGTTCATGGAATTGATTTCTGCATCATACTATGGTTTTTTGGTGATAATCTGCTTTCAATAAAGGAGGAAGAAAGCCTCCATCACAGCAATAATATTATAAAGGTTTTAAATTTAAATTAAATGATATTAAATAGTTTAATTTTCCTAATTTAACAACCATGTTTATTTTTCTGCAGTACTTACAATTTATTACACCTACACTTTCATGCAGACAACTAATTCTATACCTTTATCCCCATGTAGAAAATCAATCAATTTCCAACAGCCTACTACAGGAGGAATCATTCAAAGTGACAAGTAACCAACAATAAATCCTAGTTTTAGAACTGTAGAGATGTATCAATCATACACACACTGAAAAGCCTTATTAAACCAGTCTTGAAAGTACATTAAAGAAAATGAACCAAACTTTGTACCTCAGACTAGATAAATTAGAGCTTCATGTATGGAAAGAAAAAGGAAAGTCACCTTTTGATTCATCTGTAGCTTCATCACCTCTGTCATCAACAAATCGCGACTGTCTTTCCCACTCTACATAACACACCAAACTCAAAGTGAGATCATTAAACAAGGCCTATTAAACCCCAGAAACAATCTCAATTCAGTGTGTGTGGATAAAGAACTTGAAAGAGGTAATGCATTTATTGAGAGGATTTAGATTGATTTTGTTTAAAATACTTTGTTTGGACATAAAAATAGGAGAATTTCACAAGTCCTGAGTATTTTTATAGAGTTCGTTTTAATTTTAAAAAAAAGGGAATTTGAAATTTCAACTTTTTTTTTTATTATGAAATTTCAACTTTAAAGATACAATTTTGAAATTTCTTCTCTCTCTTTCCAATTTTAGCAGCTTCTCTCTCTCTCTCTCTCTCTCTCTCTCTCTCTCTCTCTCCCCCTCAATTCTTCCTCCAATACTTGAGTCTGATGGAAATGGTGGGAAGGTGTAGGCAACTCAGAACAGGGTTGGGTTGAAGATGGAAGTTATTAATTACAAATTAACAAATGAAAAAAATAAAAAATTCTAATGATAGAATTTGGAATTGCACCAATTTAATTTCTTGTCATTTAAAATCCACTAAAATTTTGAAATTACCTATCCAAACACATAGTTAGATCATTTAACAATTCCCATACACGCACATACCCCAAAGTTCAGTTTTCCAAATTCTAATCAAATTAACAAAATCCACAACACCCCACTTCCCCACAATATCAAAAAAGAAAAACACAGAGCACTCAAAATGACAACAGAGTCACTGTTGCATAAACTCACCTTCATTGTCTGAACCACTCTCCGGATCATCATCATCAGGGTCAGCACTGTAATCAGACTCATAGCTTCCCATGTTAAGCCACTTGCGCATGACCACCCTTGCCCAGAAGAGCTGTATGCAGGACCAACCCAAACAACACATTTCAGCCCAAGTTCTCTGCAATTTGCCTCAGTTTCCCAAAATCAACAAACCCCATAACACCAACAAGCAAATCCACCACTCAACAGAACAAACAAAGAAATTCTATGAACCATCATCAAAAGAGGAAGAGAGAGAAAGAAAGAACAGTACCTGTTGTTGGTGTGGTGACCTGTGCTTCATCACTGCTGAAAATGGGTATTGGAATATAACTAACCAAATGAGAATATTAAGATTGATATTGAGAAGAAGAAGAAGAAAGGGTAAGAAGGAATATTGTGTTGCTCGCCAAAACGCAGTGAGCTAACCAAAAAAGATGGCGGTAGGAGCTGAAAAAAATGTGCTCCTTTGTTTTCTGAAGATTCCGAAGCTTTTGACTGTGGAATTTAATGAAGTAGAGAATTTGAAGGGGTTCGTTGAGAGAAAGTTTGCAACTTCAACAATAAATAAAGGACAGTGCGGTGTGACACTGAATTGTTTGTAAAAAAAGAAAAATTGTTAAGATCAGACATAAGTATTAAAAAAATTAATTTTTTTATTAACAAATATACGTCTTATATTAAAACTATAAAAGTATAATAAATCTTTTTAATTAAAATTTATTATTTTTATACATTTAATCTTAGTTCAAAAAAGTATATTTATTATATTTTTTAAAAAATAATTTTACATTTTGAAGTAGACACATTTTTAAGTGTTTTATTAAATAGTATATTTTGGAGATGTGGGTAGGTATACAAAATAGTAAAAAAAATATATGTGTCTGCCTGTCAAACTATGGAGCTGAAGGAAAATATAAAGAAGGATTTAGTGCTGCTTCATGCTTATTAGACGGCAACCACTGGTCCATCGAGGATTATATGTCATGATGGACGGTTAGATTATTCATCGTTCAACTTCTACTTTTAATGTTTTTTTTTTTCCAATTTTGGGGTTATAAGTTATAACTTAACTTTTATTAAGATAAATGGTAACTAATGTTTTGAGGACATTAATTAAAAAATTAAAGTACTATTTTTATAAAAAAAATATTGTTAATAAATTTTCTTCCACAATTTTAATATAATTTATATTTAAAAAGTTTAATTCTTTTACTAATATATTAAAGAACTAACTAATAAAATTCGTTTATATATATATATATATATATATGCAACATCTTCTTATATTATTACAAACTCTTACACTTAAATTTAAATTTTTTATTTAACTTAAATCTAACATATTATAATTTATTACTTTATTTACCGTTAAATATAAGTTAAATGAAATATTCAAATTAAATATAAAAATTTTTAAATTATAAAAAAATTCTTCTTAATATTTGATATATTTAAATATAGATATTATCGTTGTATTTATTTTTTAATATATTTAAAATAATAACTTTAACACTTGTTTTAGTGTTTTTTTTTTTCTTCAAGAGCATATGTATGTAATAAAGAATGAGCATGAATGAATTGTAACTAAATATGCAATTGAAATGTTTAGATACATGGTAAAGAAATTAATTCATATCAACACATAAGAAAAAAATTCAATAATTTTAATCTCAATAGAAAATATTTCTTTTTGTCCGTAATATCATAAAGACTTTAATTTGTAAACTTTTATAAAGCGTTAATTAATATTTTTTTATTACATTTAGATTTGACTCCTTTGAAATACAAAATATAAAATAAAAAGATAAAAAATTATTTAATTAATTATATTTATAAAACGAAAAAGATCTTCTTACACTAGTGTAAGTCTAAAAACTCTCATACTCAATTTGAACCTTTCATTTAATTTATATCTAACGTCAGTGAAGTAATAAATTATAATCCGTTAAATATAAATTAGATGAAAGACTCAAATCAAATGTAAGAGTTGTTAGACTTACACTAGTGTGAAAATTTTTTATCCTTTTATAAAATATTTAAATTAAAAAATATATACTTTTTTTATTTTACACAATTTTTTCATTTTAAAATAATTAAATCTTATGACTTCAACACATTTTTAATGTAAGTCTGAATAATTTTTTATTTTAATTTTTGAAGAGGAATAATTCTTTTTATTTAAACCCAACTAACATTTACAAAGAGGGATTATTACAATATGAGAAGCAAACAAATATTGGGGATATAGATGGTGTTAACCCCAACTTTTCAGTATCACTCTAATAAGAAAACAAGTGCGCATTGCTTGCTTGTCACATGTCCTACTTTGCCACGTTAGATTAACAAGAATGAAAAAGTTATAACGATCATATATATGTATACGCATGGAGCACCTAACCTCACAACTATTGGTTCCCATCTTAAAGGATATATATATATAACTATGAACTACTAAAGAAGCACCATATCTGAAATGGTGTGCCAAACAGATAAACAAGCCTATAAAGATGAGCTAAATCAGCTTAAACCTATACGTGTAAAGGACAAGAGCGTAACCACTATTGGTTCCCATTTTAAAGGATACAACTATGAACTATTAAAATAACAAGCAAATATAAAATGGTGTGTCAATAAGCCTATAAACATGGTCCAAATTAGCTTAAACAAAAGGCCAGTTAGTAAAATATAAGTCTATAGGGGTAAAGGACAAAAGGGTAACGATGCAATGTTGCAATTCTTTTAGAATGTAAGTGAAGGAGATGAGACAAACTAAGAAAGCATTGAGGGATAAAATAAACCCACAACTAGAAAATTAAATTTAATTAATTATTTGCACGCTAACCCATCGTCCCTAGCTTTCAGTGAAGATTCGCAACGCGGAATTGAATAAAAGCACGAGAGAAGTTGGTGTGAGTCATTGTTGAAATGACCACATCATATTATCAAAAGACAAATACGATTCCGTAAGTCTTTTTTTAGTATAAAAAATTATAATAATAATATATATATACATATATATTTTTATAATTCTCAATATACTGTCGATATAATATTTAATTAAAATTTATTATTATTATTATTTATTAAACTAATATCTTAAGAATATTAATGAGTAATTAATAAGCACTACACTAAAAAAAAATTAATAAAACACTACATAAGAGAGCAGTTAATAAAAAAATCGCTTTTCAATTTATTTCAAAAATGATTAATTATTTGCTATCTAAAATGCTAACACACTTAATACAATATTTCAGAATAATTCTAAATGTTATCTAAGTATATGCAAAATTGCTCTTAAATATCTTTCTAATGTAGTAAAAATTTATAAAAAAAGAATAACTTTAAAATACTTTTTTCTTATTAAACCAAGAGCTTTAATTAATATAACTATGTGGAGATATACAAATAAAAACAATCAAACTCACAAGTCATTACACGCTACTTTTGTTTTCTCTCATCCTCATTTGCAATAGAACATAAACACATATATATATTACGCATTCCTTAGTAGTAATTGTTTATAACTACTGTCTGTAATTAGTTAATGCATATAAATTGCAACATACTTAATTTGGAATGCAAAAGAACAATAGCATGTGCACACAATTTTTAAGGTGTTGAGATTTTATTATAGCTCCTTTCTGTCTGTCTACTAACGACCAGTCACAAACTTGACCACCACCTTGCATGAAAAGAATCATAATTTTTTTTTTACACTACTTTCCCTTGCACATTTTATTTTTATACATTTATATTATCCCTATTGATTATAATATCTTTTAGATATATAACTCAAAGTTGGCCTTGTACTTTGTTTAAGATACAGTCTCTTGAATCATTACACGCACACAACACTCATATTAGGTTTATTAAGACTAAAATATATATAAAAAAACTGTGCTTTAAAAAATAAATATTTTTTTGGTGAAATATTCTGTAGCATTGATTATTTACAAAAATATATATAAAAAAAGGATTTGATCAATTTATAAGTCTGAAATTTAATAATCGGGAAAAAAACTATGAAGCAAGTCGTTTGTGCTTTTTATTTCAAATTAATGCTAACTGTCAAGTTAGAGTGTATTTTAGAGAATAAAAGTTACAACTAAGGATTAACTTAAAATTTTATTACATATTTACTTAGTTTTTATCATAATCACAACTGATTTTTTTTTAATCAATCACTGTAAATACATTTTATCAATTAAAATAAATCCTTTCATATTAAAAGAGCTAAATTTGTCAAGCTAATTAATACCTTTATCTTGTACTCTAAAACAAAAGCATCAACTTCTCTATATTAGGAGGATCTATTTTTTATTTTTTTTCAACGAAAAAGTTTGTGTTTTAATATTTATAATAAAAATATTTATTTTTTAATAGAGGCTTACATTTATTAGATTAAAATAAATTCAAGCCAAAATGCTATGACTGAACAGAAATATAAGCTTTTGGGCACAAGGCTACACAAATTTGTTTTCTGTTTTTCTTTTAAAAATAAAAATTCTGGAAAGACTGAAAGGTGGTAGAGAATATACAGTTTAGTGTCATGCATGATTGCGGATTAAAACAACTCTTTCTACTCTTTAACGCCATGTGTCGCTCTCTCCGTTAATTAAGGCTGATTTCATTTTCTAGAATTAAGTTATGTTTCCCACTAGCTTGCAAAATAATTATTAACAAAATTTTCTTCCCTTTTATATTTAATTTATAACTTTCCTCATACATCATTATATACTCGTAATATATAAAACAACGTAAAAAGGTTTATATATATATATATATATATATATACATAGACACACACCTCAGCATAATAAAATCTGTCTTTAGTGTCATATTCATTTATGCTTCTTATCTAAATTTTGGCAACCATATAATTGCCGACAAAGCATACTAATCGATTAAAACCCTTCGCAAAGGTGTGGTACCCTGAATTAAACCACTCTCATCTCAGGCATGCATGCATGTGAATGAGACTCAAGTTGTTCTACATAATCATTGCCACAAAGAGATGCTTTCACAAAGCAGAACAAATCTAGTTTAATGTACAAGAGATACTATTGTGTTTCTTGTAGCTCATAGGTCACGAAATGAAGCTCCATGATTTGGTCGAACAGAAGGGTTGAAAAATAAAAAAGGAAATGTTGTTGGCAGATTTGTGATGATATGAAAGGAAAAACACATAAAACAGAAGTTATGATCTTATATATTTTTGTTAAAAACTGAATGTAAATTGAAAAAGATGTTAAGATCAAACACTAATCTTAGTAAAATAACATATTCAATAACTTCTTATCAAAAGTTAATTTTATCAATTTAATTATTTAATTTAAAATTCTTATGAAAAATTTAAATTTACAAAATTTCACATAATTTAAATATTAATTAATATTTTGTTGGTCTATTATATTTTAATGTATAAAAAAGCATTTAAAATGTAAGTAAATAACTACTATTAGATTATATGTCTATAAATATTTAAATTATATATATATAGTTTTTATAATAATACTATAAAAATTATTTTTGA